AGCTCATTTTGAAAGGTTTTGTTCAGAAGCAGTACCTGGAGTACCAGCAGGTGCTCAACACTGATCCTGCTTGCTCTGAATTCCTGTGACGTGCAGGGGCCCACGCTGAAACCAGCAAGATGAAAGCTCAAGATTTCTTGGCCAAGGCCAGTGGGAGAGATTCCAGATTCAACCTGCTTTGGTATGCAGAGGATGTAAGAGATGAGCAAGATGCTGCAAACTTGGGAGATATAATCAGGGCCACTGAGGGGCAAGGGCATGCAAGGGACAGGGGACATTCCTGAACCATGGCACTAGTTAGCTTTTGCCCATACGAAATGAGGTCCATTCTGCATTCCCTTTGACAAGAGCAATCAGCCTTTTAAGTAGTGGAGGTCCAGGATGTGTTGGGGGAAATACTCTGTATATGATTTTGAAGTCTATTTTGGTAATGGGGAAATTGACATATGTTGTCATGATTTTTGAAATCTAGTTCTGTCATCCGAGGATGGAAGCAGCTTGCACATCTTATTTGATGAATGACCTTGATCTCACATAAAGTTTTGCTTTTCTATCCCAACTGTAAGAGTTTGCTATTTTCTAAAACCCACAGGAAACCTATTTTACTTTGTGATGTGGAATAAGATACCACTGCCGGGGAACAGAAGTTTCCTGGGAGATGTGTAAGATCTTTACATTAAGACACATAGGGTCATGAACTAGACATAAAAATATGAGACAATTCTTGACATCTTATCTCTTTTCTGCTGTTGTTCTGTACAATTAAAATATACAAGTATGCCGAAACTTTGTTGGGTACTTCTAGGACGTTGGTAAAATTGTGACCTTGCTATGGTCTTCATCTGGAGATTAACTGTGATGTAAATAGATACGTTTGGGTGTGAAGATGACCATGGGTGAATTTTGAAAGTCAACTCTGATATACTAACTGCATTATACTAAGGAACACCTACTAGGTTAGCCAACATGCTCCTGGGTGTGACAGTGCTGGTCATGGATGCAGGAAACTGGTTTTCCTGTCTTACATTCTTTCCCAGCTCACTTCCTGGTCACCATAAATTGAGCGGCTTTGTTCCTTCAAGTCCTTGCCCCATGGAATTTCTACCTTTGAGCCAAACGTTTACAGACTGAAACCATGTGTCAGTGAGTCCTATGCTCGCCTTC